CGACTTTCGCGACCCGCCAAACGTCATAAAACTCGCAAAACTAGTACGATAGGCCGACTTTTCGTGTTTCTCCATCTTGGCGGCCTCCCGCATGTCCCGGTCCCGGTCCCGGTCCCGCTGCTCTCGAGGTGGCACAGCGGCGACTGGGCTCTGCCCAATAAACCCGCCGTCCAGTGACAAATATGACGGTCCGCCTTTCCGACCCAACGATGCCGGATTATAAAGTGGATGAGCAACAGGAGTCTTTGGTAATGGCGCGGTATGGTAGTCGGTGGCGGTGAGAGGAGACATGGGACCAAACGACGAGTTGGTACTGATCGGCCTCGACTTGCGTTTTCGACCTCGGTCCAGCTGCTCCTCTACGGCCGTAGCAATCGACGTGGCGGTTTGTGGGGAAGTGAGGACCATGCTGTGCGCGGGGTTATAGGGGTGTGGGTGGGTGGTGGATAACGAGTAGGTGGACGAAGGAGCGGCTTGGGTACTGCCCGAGAGCGTGTGAGCGTGTGCGTACGCATGCCTCGATGAGGACGCAGGGGGTGGCTCAAAGGTACCCGTGTAGGGGATGTAGTCGTCGTCGTTGCCGTCATACTTGGATGGATTTGACGGGAGGCCGATCAGCGAGGCGAGGCGAGAGGCGAGTGGGAGATGGGTCATCGAATGCGACGTCCCAGATTGGGCATAGTATGGCTCCTGTATCATGAAGAAAAAAGTGGCGAGAATTAGCGTGCAGGCTCCAGGTATGAGGCACGTTTGAGCCACTGACTGTTGTCAATACGTCTCCCAGCTTGATCTGATTTTCTTTTACGGGCTCTATGATAAAAGACACTATAAAGAGGATTTGTAAGCTATTATACGTCGGTTTGGATTAAGGAGAGCAGTAGTAGAGGTCCAAAAGTTTTTAAGCAAGATAAGAAGCTGCGCGCGGCATAACCGCGAGGAAATGAACGACGCCAAACTTGGCAAAATTTGGGACGAAGAACGTCATTAGGTGGAGGTGACGGTCCTGCCGTTGTCTGGCACAATGTCGGTCGCGAGGAGCACCGAATAGAGATTGCGGATAATCTCGAGGATAATCATGAGCTCTTGTGGTACTAGTGGGTGTCGGAACAGCGCCCTCTTCGCAATCAAGTGGGGGTGTGTCCGGGCGAACCTCTCGGAACACAGGTCTCGGAATCACCACGAGAGAGCAGAAAAAAAAAAGCATCCTCGCGATTCCAAAGATTGCAGACATTGCAGTAGCGCCAGATTACGACGCGAAAACTCTCGAGTGGAAAATGACGCCCAACGCCGCGGACAACGACCGTATCCGTAACGGTCAACGCTGACCCGTAAGTGTGGATCGACCAGGATCTTCATGATCGGCAAAACCTGTCTATAGGACAGCGCAGACAACATGTCCGGGGTCTGTGGAGAGCGTCCTGGACCCGCCAGAAGGTGTCCAAGAAATTTCTTGAACGCCTATTTTCCAGAGGGCCTTCGCTCGGTCTGTCGTATCCACCGCGCGCACCGTCGTACAACCACTGTAGGAATAGTCGCTCCAAGCTAGACTAGAAGGCTCGCAGTCGTCCTACAGACGGGGTGAATTGGGCGCGGTTATCCGCCTAGGCGGTGAGAAACACGAAAGCGCATCCGTCGGATACAGCTCGCCCACTCGAAAGAAGTCCACAAAAGGGATTAGCATAGCTCAGAGCACCAAGAGACGTCTTGGGAGACCCGATTTGGAGCACCGGAGATGAGCAAACTCACCCTAAAAACGACCCTAATCACAACCGCCTTCTTCACCGTCGCGTCTAAAATGCAAACACCAAAACAGCAGAATTTTCCAAAGAATTCTAGCACGTCTCCTGTGACGACAAGGAAATTGCTACTGGCGTGGTCGAGGGTTAAAAAATGGTTGAGCGCGGTCGGAATGATTCAAAGCCCTGACGCCAATGCCGAATCCCAGTTTGCTTTATGGCCAACTTTGGACTCAGCGATGACCACAAAGAAAACGAGGACCCTTGGGTTTGACACCGCTGCTTGACGTATAACAGGGCAAAGATAAAATACGGTCCTGTCCACCGAAGCAATAAGCTAAAACAAGTTTGAGCTTTTATGGCAGTTGGAACCTTGCGATGGCACTTGCATGACACTTTCGACGTGAATGGGCCTAGGCAGCCAGCGAAGAGCGCTCTGCACACAACACACTATCATGAACGTGAGTGCGCCCTTGTCAGGATTTAACGTTATACTCACGGTGGAGGGGCCTCAATCTGATCGCTTCACTCATCGGCGAACGCTTCGACCCGTACCTGTCTCAGCGAACCCAACTCCGCTCTCATCTAGCCTCGAACGTTGACAACTAGCAGGAATAAAGAGCTTCATGAAGAATAACCTCGACGGATCAATCAGAAGCCGTCTCTCAGCACAAATCTCGATATTCTGCCTCTCCCTCTATACCTTCTAACCACGTTCTCCGCAAAAGGCAAGAGAAGATGCGATCGTGGCAAGCAATGGAGCCGAACTCCATTTGGGAATAGTCGCACAATGATATGCCAGATTGGCTTCACCGAACTGTCGGCCCTTCCTTCGTGGGCTTGTCAACACGACGGATCAATGATCACAGAACTGTGTTGGGATCTGTCATAGAGGTTAGCCAATGATCGATATGGACCGCGCACGAGACCTATTCGGCACCAACTTCAAAACATTCCACATCCGGTTCGTAACGCGGTCGGCATAATTGAGAAGGCCTTCTGGCTGGGGTATGTACACTACTACAATCCTCAGCGATCAGTAAACCTTGATGACACCAAACTCTAATCCCTTAGTCTCTTCTCTGCAGGGATCTCGTCACGTCATGACTCCCTCAGGAGTACAAGCCACGACGGATAATCATTTATCGCTTATTGGTCTAGGCTGGGCTCTATTTTACTTGGCTGAGCATTATGAACATTTTTATTTAGGTATCTAGCGTGAATATAAAGTTTTTTGAAATTCATCTGGCACTGCATCGAGACTAGTCGAAGAATAAGAGCGGGAGAGACTACCCGCTTGTAGCTTAAAGCCGCCATTTATCAAAGACTCTTTCAAGAGCCGGATAGTCCGACGAGTCCTCGATGAGTTTACTTTGATCGTATTCACCACGGAGGCAACGATCACCGGGAATGGGTGAGTAACAGACACGGTTCAACGTCACTTTTTGACGTAGTCTTCCCAGCCGGTCGTGCCGGTGTCCCGGAGTGTCCAATGTCAGTCCGTCAAAGCTTATAAGAGTGGTCTCTACGTCCAGCATGATATTTCACAGATGGATATCATTGTGAACTACTTCAAGGCCAAATAAATTCGGTGGGGTGTATGACTTGTTTCCTGTTGGTTGGTATACATCCGGGGACCTCGACCACACAATATTTGTCCAAAACTGGCCTTTCTACATTGAGCGGTTGAATAACTCAGATTGACCAGACAGTGTCTTGATTCCACACATTCACGCTACTTTGGCCCATACGGGACGGCGACAGGTGCCTCAGCCACAGCACCGCTGATCATTCATGGGTATAATCCATGCTCGGGGTTCACTAAACATGAAGAATGTTTACCAATCGCTCCATTCCCAAGCTTTTAGATTATCTTCTCAGATGAAGATAATAGATAACAACAGGCACTGGTTGGAGAAGCCGTCCCAACCCCATACATATCACCGAGATACTAGTAAAACAGTTGTAGAAATAAATGCCGAGATCTAATATAAACCTAGCCCATAGTACACGTGTCCTCTGACTACTAGAATGCCGTTCCAGGTATGATGCTAACAGGACCGTTGCGCTCATTC